TCAAACGAAACGCCAACACTTAGCATCGACCGTACATGAAAACAGAAGCGCATTTGTATATACACACACAATATTTATATATATATATATATATATATATATATGAACAAGTAACAATTTTTTTAACATCTGTTGTTTTTTGTCTTATATATAAGCTTATTACATACTCTGTTTTATGTTTAGTCCAAGCAAGAAGTTTAGAAGAACACCCTAAATGCATTCACCTTGCATTCATCAAGAATCATAAGGGAGGGGGGATTTATTGAAAATAACTGAAAATAATCTAATGCTAAGATAATCCATAATATTATGTAGGTTTATTGCAAAGACGTATACACATACGCAGGTCTGCATGCTTACATGTGTGTGCGCGCGTGCGTGAGCCACGTGTGTGCGCGCGCTTGCGTGAGCCACGTGTGTGCACGCGCTTGCGTGAGCCACGTGTATATGTGTGCGCGCGTGAGCCACGTGTGTGTGTGCGCGTGAGCCACGTGTGTGTGTGCGCGCGCGTGAGCCACGTGTGTGTATGCGCGCGTGAGCCACGTGTGTGTGCGCGCGTGAGCCACGTGTGTGTGTGCGCGCGTCAGCCACGTGTGTGTGTGTGTGTGTGCGCGCGCGTGAGCCACGTATGTGTGTGTGCGCGCGTGAGCCACGTGTGTGTGCGCGTGAGCCACGTGTGTGTATGCGCGCGTGAGCCACGTGTGTGTATGCGTGCGTGAGCCACGTGTGTGTGCACGGGTGAGCCACGTGTGTGTGCGCATGAGCCGTGTGTGTGTGCGCGCGCGTGAGCCACGTGTGTGTGCGCGCGTCAGCCACGTGTGTGTCTGCGCGCGCGTGAGCCACATGTGTGTGCGCGCGTGAGCCACGTGTGTGTGCGCATGAGCCGTGTGTGTGTGCGCGCGCGTGAGCGCGTGCGTGAGCCAGCGTGTGTGCGCGCGCGTGAGCGCGTGCGTGAGCCAGGCGTGTGTGCGCGTGCGTGAGCCACGTGTGTGTGTGTGTGTGTGTGTGCGTGCGTGCGTGAGCCACGTGTATCTGTGTGCGCGTGCGTGCGCCACGTGTGTGTGTGCGCGTGCATGAGCCAGGAGTGTGTACGTGCGTGCGTGAGCCACGTGTGTGTGCGCGTGTGAGCCACGTGTGTGCGCGCGCGCGTGAGCCACGTGTGTGTGTGCGCGCGTGAGCCACATGTGTGTGCGCGGGTGAGCCACGTGTGTGTGCGCGCGTGTAAGCCACGTGCATGTGTGCGCGCGCGTGAGCCACGTGTGTGTGCGCGTGTGAGCCACATGTGTGTGCGCGCGTGAGCCACGTGTGTGTGCGCGCGTGAGCCACGTGTGTGTGTGTGTGCGCGTGTGAGCCACATGTGTGTGCGCGGGTGAGCCACGTGTGTGCGCGCGTGTGAGCCACGTGGGTGTGCGCGGGTGAGCCACGTGTGTGTGCGCGCGTGAGCCACGTGTATGTGCTCAGGTAAGCCACGTGTGTGTATGCGCGCGTGAGCCACGTGTGTGTGCTCGGGTGAGCCACGTGGGTGTGCGCGCGTGAGCCACGTGTGTGTGTGCGCGTACGAGCCACGTGCATGTGTGCGCGCGCGTGAGCCACGTGTGTGTGCGCGTGTGAGCCACATGTGTGTGCGCGCGTGAGCCACGTGTGTGTGCGCGTGTGAGCCACGTGTGTGTGTGTGCGCGCGTGAGCCACGTGTGTGTGTGCGCGTGTGAGCCACGTGCATGTGTGCGCGCGCGTGAGCCACGTGTGTGTGTGTGCGCGCGTGAGCCACGTGGGTGTGTGCGCGCGTGAGCCACGTGTGTGCGCGAGCGTGTGAGCCACGTGTGAGTGGGTGTGTGCGCGCGTGAGCCACGTGTGTGCGCGAGCGTGTGAGCCACGTGTGTGTGCGCGACCGTGAGCCACGTGTGTGTGTGTGCGCGCGTTAGCCACGTGTATGCGGTTTTGAGCGACGTATGTATGCGCGTGAGCCGCGTGTTTGTTCGCGCGTGAGCCACGTGTGTGCGCGCGCGTGAGCCACGTGTTTGCGCGCGTGCGTCACGTATGTGTGCGCATGAGCCGTGCATTTGTGTGTGCGCGCGCGCGTGACCGCGTGCGTGAGCCAGGCGTGTGTGCGCGTGCGTGAGCTAGACGTGTGTGCGCGTGCGTGAGCCAGGCGTGTGTGCGCGTGCGTGCGCCAGGCGTGTGTGCGCGTGCGTGCGCCAGGCGTGTGTGCGCGTGCGTGAGTCAGGTGTGTGTGTGCGCGCGTGCGTGAGCCAGGCGTGTGTGCGCGTGCGTAAGTCAGGTGTGTGTGTGCGCGCGTGCGTGAGCCAGGTGTGTGTGTGTGTGCGTGCGTGAGCCAGGTGTGTGTGTGTGTGCGTGCGTGAGCTACGTGTGTGTGCGTGCGTGAGCCACGTGTGTGTGCGTGCGTGAGCCACGTGTGTGTGTGCGCGTGCGTGAGCCAGGAGTGTGTGCGTGCGTGCGTGAGCCAGGAGTGTGTGCGTGCGTGCGTGAGCCACGTGTGTGTGCGCGTGCGTGAGCCAGGCGTGTGTGCGCGTGCGTGAGCCAGGCGTGTGTGCGCGTGCGTGAGCCAGGTGTGTGCGCGTGCGTGAGCCACGTATGTGTGTGCGCGTGCGTGAGCCACGTATGTGTGTGCGCGTGCGTGAGCCACGTATGTGTGTGCGCGTGCGTGAGCCACGTATGTGTGTGTGCGTGCGCGTGCATGATCTAGTTGTGTGTGTGTGTGCGTGCATGAGCCACGTAATTGTGTGCGCGCGCTCGGACGTGTGTGAACCTTGTATACCATCACGCGGGTTTCACAGTTTCTGTATAAACTAAACACGGTCAATATTTTTATTTAATAAATAAATCTATTTATTATTAGAGGCTTAATACATCGTTATATAAAGCGTATGTGAGGATAAATATACGTTTCAGATGCAGTTGAACTGTGGTGATATATTACTGTACATGCATGCGCATCTGCATTAAATAAAGACAAGCAACATTATTTTAATGACAAAATAATAACACGAATTTAGTTTTTATTGAAATGTTAGTAATAACTTGGCTTACAAAATGAATAATTTGCACACGTGCTTCAGTATATACTTAATACACACATACCAGTAATGGGAGAGCAGACGTTTCAAAAACTAGTGCCTTCCATCAATTTTCTAACGAACCAAATTTAGAATCCGTTTATTAGCATATCTGTCGCCTAACTATATATAGTATCAGGAGTAACTAAAAACAAGTTGTTTTTATCCAATCATGATATTATATAACTATATTATATAGTTAATGTATATATAATTTCCCGAACATTTATAAAATTAGATACCGGTCATGATTCACCAGTATGTGACATCATATAATACAATAAGACACGCTGGACAAAAAATAATTCATAAATATTACAGTTAACAGCAGTACATTAGTTAGTCGTATTCAGTGGTTAGATTTAGCGTAAATCGTTGCAAATATTTGCCATACAAATCTAGATGTTTGCACTTCTCACATACTCATTTCGTAAACATTTCCTGCTTCATGTGTTCATAATGTGTATACATTGTTGTCTTAAACATTGCCTTTCCTTACTAGATGTGTACTGTATTAGACATCCTAAAATTCATTATATAAAGAATAACGTAGTTTCCGGTTTGGCTGCACTATACAAGCAATTATGATGTTTAATTACATCACGTTGTTTATTTTCATCGCTATAATGTTCTGGTGTCCTAATGTAATGAAAAGTAAAGCAATCCCACATTTTCTTCACGCGGGTAGCAACTATTGCCTAATACCTATCAACTACGTTATTACTAAACATTCGATTAGTTGCATTTTATATATGATTCAAAGCTTTGATGCCATTTGTATCAGACCGTCAGGTTATCTGTTATTCAACAACTGTTGGATCATAACACATATAGACTCTAAGCCCTAACATTTATACACATCGTTATATCCAAAATTACGTTTTAGATAAGACAGTCCCGCGTATAAGAAATTAATTAAACTGCATACACATGTGCATGAAAATATAGAGCATATTGATGAACATTTACAGGGACATAATGCTTGCTGTCTTTGTTTAGGTGGTATCAAGAGTAGATAATAGGGAAGGAGTGTGACATCAATAAACAAGGGAAATTCGTCATTTACTAGCCTTATAATACCTACGATTTACTACGCGTAACTCATCCAACTTGAGCTCAAATCGTACACAGTACATTCGCCTAGCATCGTGCGAAATCGTTTCCTCGTATACACAAGCAATCCGGAGATACAGACTAAAAGTACGACACGATTATCCATTCTTTGGCCATCAATCCAAAAGTATTCCTCGCCGAACTTGCAAACAAAAGGCAGCTACTAACGCACTGTCGCTCACTCGTCGAGGCGGTGTGGCTCGCAGGGAGATTGCGGTGGGCGTGCGTGCGTGGGGGGCATACCAACTGTATGCCGGTATGCCGGTATGTAGCTGTGTGCCGGGTCAAAGGTTATCTTGCCGAGTGTTGCGTCGATGTCCAATCTCCCAGCGAGCCACACCGCCTCGCCGAGTGAGCGACAGTGCGTTAGTAGCTGCCTTTTGTTTGCAAGTTCGGTGGGGAATACTTTTGGATTGATGGCCAAAGATTGGATAATCGTGTCGTACGTTTTAGTCTGTATCTCCGGATTGCTGGTGTATACGAGGAAACGATTTCGCACGATGCTAGGCGAATGTACTGTGTACGATTTGAGCTCAAGTTGGATGAGTTACGCGTAGTAAATCGTAGGTATTATAAGGCTAGTAAATGACGAATTTCCCTTGTTTATTGATGTCACACTCCTTCCCTATTATCTACTCCTGGTGGTATCGATGACCCTAAACAAAGAAACTGTTTTTATTGAAATACCGCATATGATCACACGAACACTTATATTCACCCTTCTCCATCCTACAGTAGCTCGACGCGCACAATTTCGTGATTCACTGTTGTTGCCAATCTACCTACTGTGCAGAATGTGGCACTGCATTTTGCTTTCATCCGAATTAATCCTACTTCAATATACTAATAGGATTTTGAGTTCTCGAAATTATTTTCAGATATTATTAGCCCAACAGATCTTAGTGTTACTGGAAACCACAAATGCTAAATTGTGTAAACAATGTGCAATTTTATATTGTACTTAGCCATTCATAAAACCAGTGAGAATTCACCGCATATCGTAATATTAATCCTGTGAGAACCACATGATCACTTTCTACACGGTACTACAAAACCAACAAAATGAAAAAATAAGGAAATGTGCATAATACAGCTGAAATCGAATTTATATATATATATACGCTTTCAGCTCTATTTATGATGAGCCTATTTACATTGCACATCTCACAACAAAATCAACACGCTGTCAGTAGCATATTGCACAGATCCACTGTGTTAAATACACAGTACCACAAATAACATACAGCATATCACTCTATTAAATTTAAGGTACTATAATATAAATGTAGCATACGCGCGTGAGATGTAAGCTAAATTCCCGTAATATTAAAAGGACATTGTCTTATTGTCTTGGCGTTTCCTTGGCTGGTCGGGTGCTCCTCCAGCTCAGGATAGGTGTAATAGAATGGATGAAGTGCTATTTACAACAGTTCCCCTTGTTTTAGGTAGGCACCATTAATAAACAAGAAAACTTTAAACAAGTGCAAATAGCAACCCTTAACTATAATAACAGGGGCATGCGTTATTCTAATGCATAACCTCAACGTTGTACAAAATTAAAAACAATACTCATCTTGAGCATAAACTTTGAAGAACAAAGCATTTAACATTTATACATTTTGCCATTCATAATGCAAACGTGTGCGTGCGCACGAATCAATTTAAATACTGATTTTCCACCGTGAATGTAAGCTTTATCTCGCGGTAGATGGCAGCGCCTATACCCATGGAGCACGTGCAGACGCCTCGTTTCAGTATTGAGCAATTCTTTATGCTGTAATCGTTGCATTTTTAACCCAGATTCTGTATTAGAATATCGAACTTGGAAATTTGCACAGCGTGTACCCCCATCTACAAGAAATTTCACCATAAATTTAGTTTACATAACATATTACCAGCCGCGGGTAGTATCAATAGCTGTGCTTTTGCGAGTTTAAATATTAAAATGATTGATTCTTATGGATCACGACGTGAGTAATGTATTTAAAATAGTTGGAGTGCGCTTATAATAGCAGCGCAATGAAAAGTCCCAGCTCATCAGCAGGTGCATGTATTTAAAGCGAGCGCTACCAATGTCTGCATACCTGAATTGATTAATTTAATTTGTACCCGCAATTGATTAATACGACGAAGTGCTTATGGACAACAGTGGCCGCCTCAATGTTAATAAATTCTTTCATTCAGAGTAGGTAACACCCATGAAACTGCGATAATCATTCAAAAAATGTTACCCGACTCTTTTAGCAGAGCGACTCGAACGGTGTAGCATTAAGCCGTGGGAGACTGATTCATAGCCGGGCCATATATCAAGCCATGTAATGCAAACATTAGTAGCGGAATATACGTAGTTTGCCTAATAGCAAACACACGTCAAATAACTTGGTGGTATTTTCAAATATTTCTAGCTGAGGAAATGTGATTAAGCCTCTATTTGCCGACCCTTTCTAATGAAATCCAAATGTTTAGCGACAGTTACGTATAGAAACTATCATCATGCCTTATAGCAGATCGACATTCTAGTTCGTGTACATGTCTTTTGAGCAACACTGTTGCGGCCTTGTGTGGTCAGCGTGATAGAATACTGTCAACCGATATTTCCTGTAGATGTGGATGTGTGCTTGATGTAAGCGCGGCTGCAAGTGTGGACGTGGGCTTTGGCGTTGGTATAATATACGTATTATATATATATAATATGTGATTCCAGTAATTGTTGGATGGTTTGGTTTAATTGTAATGGGCGGCACACGTCCATGCTGCTGTCATGTACCAAACTGCAAGCAGTGCCCCTTCGCTCACTCAGGATACCATTATCGTATTAGGCATATCGTAGATTGAGCCCATGAGCGAGAGCGCCATCTGTCGTGGAGTTTGGTCATGTACAAGTCCTGCTCCATCTGGTATATTTAGTGATTGTATTTCTATTCTTTTGATATTACACGATCAATTATATGTATGCCGAATATACCTTACTGGAAACCTGTTACACCGATGCCATTACAACGGTGATGAATGAATATTTGGATCATTAACTTTTCAATGGGAACCGTTTTAATCACTAACCTCATATTGATTGACATTAAGTGTTACTCACTTTTAAAAGAATTTATATTGCATGATTATCCTATAAAATAACTTTTCAAATAGCTCTTACTACATTTCTATTGGAATTTATTCAGTGTTATTTTACTTTAAAAATTAATATCGCCATCAGTTACTTGAATATAATCAGGGGGCCATATTGGATTCTCTCTCTCTCTCTCTCTCTCTCTCTCTCTCTCTCTCTCTCTCTCTCTCTCTCTCTCTCTCTCTCTCTCTCCTCTCTCTCTCTCTCTCTCTCTCTCTCTCTCTCTCTCTCTCTCTCTCTCTCTCTCTCTCGCTCTCTCTCTCTCTCTCTCTCTTTCTCTCTCTCTCTCTCTCTCTCTGTCTTTCTCGTATAACATACACAACTCTGCGGCAAGATAAAAAAATACGACAAATTCGAGACCCTACGCGTATTTGCTAACAGCTGCTAATCATATAGACGGACGTACTGTATTACACCGATCAGCCTCCGACACGCACCTCGCTACAATCAGACAACTCGGATCACACAGCGACTACAGATAGTAGAGGGATACCCTCTCGTATCTCATACGGTTTTTCTTAAACGGCTTCATGCTCGATGTCTGGGTTTTGGAACAGAAGCTCACGGTAGCTTCCGGCGGTCGGCGGTAATGGCGCTGTCGTGCGGGGGTCGATGTTGACGTACGTGTGGTCCTCCTTGTTCATCGCCTCTAGCGTCTCACACAGCTCGCTGAAGCTTGGTCTCTTCGCCGACTCGTGAGCCCAGCATTGCAGCATGATTTGATATCTAAAAGTTCGCAGAAGGAAAATTCGTGAAACCTCGCCGCGTATCCGTGCGCGTTTTACTCAGGCAGCATCAAAATTCTTTACTCACACTGAACGGCGTATATTATATTACGGAATGTAACGCTAAGATATTCGCCGGTTATATTCACCATGTGCGTTCATCGAAATCGCAATACGATTAATCCAAAATTTTGTTTGCAGTTTTGTTGCATTTTATTGTACTATAATAATGTTTACAATAGTATATATGGCTGCATATTCTCAAGGGTTCAGAAGATATTAATCGCAATTAAAATACACAAGGATAGATAGAATCCGTAGGAAACCTTCGGGAAACCTTTCCAACTATTTTTTTAATTGAACCCCCTATATTAAACAGACATTTGCGCATTGCATGGAGATGCTTTAGAAAACATATACATGATTCTTAGTGTAACTATAGATGAGTAATGCCCTAGGAATGTCTAAATCTGAATGGCGCTATGTCTAAAATTAAAATATAAAAAAAATTATTCGCGTTGGCAAACATTGCGTACGCATCTTAAATGCACGAAAGTATGAATGCATGAATAATAACGCATGATGAAATGTGCATTAATAGTAAAATTTTAATATTGTTCTATTCTGTATAATACACTATCGTATCTGATAATTATAAATACAGATAGAATAAAATTGCAGCTACAACCATATTATTAGTGTGACAAGCTCACTGATTTACATTGACATATCAACCTACATCTTCTCATCGCAATTGTGAGGTTTCTCCAGTCGGTTGCCTCTAAGTAGGTAGCTTAACAAGTCCCTGTCTGACACAGTAGGGTATGGGAACCCACCTGTCAAAACGTAAATCATTCAAACGAAACGCCAACACTTAGCATCGACCGTACATGAAAACAGAAGCGCATTTGTATATACACACACAATATTTATATATATATATATATATAATGTAACGGTTTTGTTAGTTAATTGACTTAAAGTTGAATTAATAACATGATGAGACTTAGCTTCAATTTTTGATAACGTTTGTTATTAGCTTTCTTTCAGCCTAAAATTAAACGTAATGTGGTGATGCGCTTTATTCGTGAGCACACAGGAGAAATTTATGCCAATAATACGTTAGCCTCTTTGCTGTATCATACTAAAATTAAATTTCGTGGTCTTTGCAGTCTAGCCGCGGTGAAATTCCGATGGTAAATTTGCGTCAGTCTCGAATGGACAATATCGAACGCGTAAAGCTCCGCACAATCATGAATCAGTATCAAGATGAATTTCGGAACATGATAGCCAACGTCAGAGGCTGACAACGCAGAGGAATTATTATTAAGCTCAGAGACAAACAACGCACAGGAATTATGATCTACGTCAGGGTCCGACAGAGCGCAGAAATTATTATTAACGTCAGAGTATGTCAATGCACAGAAATTATTTGTATTAGGAAAAATTAACGCATAACGAATGACGCAAACGTAATCCATTTTAGCGTAAAAGCTATTAATATTAGACAGGCATGAGTGACGGACGACTGCTGTGATACGGACCTAGCGTACAGATTTCCCAAAGCACGACGCCGAACGCCCACACGTCGCTCTCTGTCGTGTAGATGTTATCCCGCATCGCCTCGACGCTCAGCCAGCGCAGCGGAATCCTGCCGCCACTTGTTTTCACGTAAATGCCCTCACGTGACAGTCCGAAGTCGCTGATCTTCAGCAGCTTTCCAGCGCCGACTAGCACGTTGCGGCCGGCGAGGTCTCGATGCGTGACCCCTTTACTGGCAAGGTGCTCCTGCGTACCCGATGCGTGGTGTATTAGTATAGAGAAATCGTGCGCTAATGCTGTTGATGCTTAATTAGCAAATCTCTACTAGCGGCATATATAGCCAGGATGAATTGCGCCGGTAGTTGCACGAGTCTTTGGTCGTACGAACAATAGGAATTGAGCTCTTCGCTTAAATAATAGCGTGGACGTGCTCTTGTGTGTGCATCATAAAATTAATCGTTGGAATAGTGTGATGCTTAAAGATTCTGGAAAACTACGTTGTTATTCTTGCATTATTGCATATTAGCAGCGGAGTTTTCCTATGTATAGCACTTACCATTCCTTCTGCTATTTGTAAGGCGAATGATTGCAGCTCTTTAGCATCTAGAACGCTTTCGATGTCGCCGAAATCCCGTCGTTGGTCTTTACGTTTGGAGCTTGTCATGCTACCGTCCGTAGCAATGCTGCGGGTGTCAGACACATTTTTGCAAAATAACATGCGTAAAAACATACAAAACGTACACAATGCAAACTAATTCTATGCAAATAACAAATACAAGACATAAAAATAAACTAGTCGCACGTTAAACTAGTGCAGTCATTTCAGACTAGCTATAGCTTATACGTCGGAAGTGGAAAAAATCTGGCAAACACTTAAACTGCTTCTCGTATAGAGCCACAACAGGGATGTCACAATTTATTCCCAGGTGAGCCATCATTAGCGGCCGAGCGTGAGGGCATGACTGCAACTTGCACGTAGATGGAGCAGTTGATTGGCAGGTTTGTTATCGGCAGGCGGTCTCCCGGGACGTTCTCTAACAGCGCTACGCTTCATATCGGCTACATTTATGTGATTTCACACTCGGCTACGGCCGAAAACCCGTGCCCGCATCTTCATACGGCGTGAATAAATAGGAAGATGCGATCTATGGGTATACAGTATTGCTTAGGAAAGGGGCGTTTTAGAAAGCAGCGTCTATACAGTTTCGGTCTGATGCAACTAGATTACGATGCACAAATCGGGCGTTGCCTTTTTTTCATATAGGCCTATCGTCTGTGCTAAAATATACCGGGCCGATACTTTGCCCATTTTCGTTATATTACCATTGTGCATATAAACGCTTCGCCATAAAGGTCTTCTACCGTTGAAATACAGATGGATCGATAACCCGGCTTTAACACGCTTCGATACCATCTCGCCTCGCCGTCTATCCGTTTTACTCGTAGTTCAAGCCACTCAGTAAAGCACTCACTGCGCTTTTGCCTGAATTTCCCCATGATCCCCGCCTTTCACCTCTCTCTCTCTCTCTCTCTCTCTCTCTCTCTTTCTCTTTCTCTCTCTCTCTCTCTTTCTCTCTCTCTCTCTCTCTCTCTCTCTCTCTCTCTCTCTCTCTCTCTCTCTCTCTCTCTCTCTCTCTCTCTCTCTCTCTCTCTCTCTCTCTCTCTCTCTCTCTCTCTCTCTCTCTCTCTCTCTCTCTCTTAAACCCTATCTTCAGCCAAACGCGCAATGAAAACTTTGTAACTGCGTAGTATGTCACACAGTTATGAGCTATTTGGTAAAATACTGAAGACAGAAGTGTGTTTCAGCTAAATACTCTCAAGTAACCCCCAAATGAAGAAAATATCCGCCTTTGTTCTAAATCCTATCGAGCACTATCTGTTAGCCACTACACGTAATACGTTGTGTATACCTCGTAATACTGATACGTTCCCGATCACTTAACATCTGAATGACAAAAAATTCTCACGCAGAGGCAAGTAGTTGACCACTTCTAAATCACATACACCTCAATTCACTCAAATTATTTATATACAAACCTTTTCCAGACACCACATGGATGCACTGCAACTACTATCAAGAAAAGCTATTATACTGAGGTTATCTAAATCCATTCTCTATAATATCTTCCAGTCTCCAAAATAAGGGCGCATGTAAATCGTCGGCTAGATCTATACCTGAACTTTATTAGGTCGGTGTCCTCGGACGACGAGTCTGTTAGGTTTGTCGTGCCCGTGTTCGTCGCAGGCTGCGTGTGCGAGCCAATGGACAGCGGACTATGCGGCGGCGACGGTAGCTCCGCCTGGTGAGTGGCGATACGCCGCCCCGTTTTCTTCTCGTACTGAGTAAGCAAGGTATAGGGTGCGTACGTCAGGACCGTAGTCTAAGCAAAATCCTAGGGGTGGGCGGGGGCTAATTTTTTTAATTGAGGGCATTCTTTTTATCGGGTTTCATGAATAAATCACGGCTGGGGATAATTTTGTTCTATTACCTGTTACATTCATACTATGATCATTGATATTTATTTGGCGCGTGTGTTCTATTATTGGCAGAAATCTAGAAATCAACTATCCGCTTGTTCCCTCTCACATGGTGGCCCATGTACGGCCCTGAACGTTCGTCTTAGTTTACTGTAATGTGCTTGTGAATATGCGTATACTTTTTAGCCGTCCATTTTGTAGACGAAAATGAAGCAATTCGGAACGGGTTGGTGCCAGGTAGGGACGGTAGTGAAGACATGAATTCACAACACGGGCAGCAAATTATGCAGAGATATCTGTTACTATACGGTGGGATTCGACCACTTTCACTGCGTTGTGTCTCTTGGACACTGAAGTGTATGTGAAGGCGACACTGAAGAACAAAGGCGTTCTTGCGTGCTAGACAAGCATCTATGTAGAAGAGGTGGTTTTTAAGCTCAAGGCCACACATGCGCCTAGGAGAGGTCAGTCAGTATTTTAGTTGATGGCACGATATAACAACCACTGGTAGGCCTACCTATTACGCCGAGACGGACAAGTGGAAATATGAAATTTCTGAAGAAGGAACAAACAAGTAATAGAACAACTTTCTTATATTATTCGAATTCATAACTCGTAAATTTCTGTTAATAATCTATTTATCTACAGGATTACGGCTGGAAAGAGATCCTAGGCTAATGCTAGCCGCACACTATCCGATTTTAGCGCAATCGTGAGGCTTAAGTTTGGCTCGGGAGGTCATTTTGGCTCGATTCGAATTTTGAATCGGGAGCGGAGCGGGACGTATAGGGTGCGAGGGCTTACGACGCGACTCGGATAGTGTGCGTGGCCATCCGACCCGCCGCCGAACGCTGAAGAAAATTGACCAATCACAGAGCAGCGCCATGGGAACCGCATTCGGTAAAAATGGCGGGAAAACACTCCCGACCCTTAGTACACGCTAAATCCGCTTGGAACGCCACGAGAGCGCCATGGTTTGCGCCAACTTCTAGTCGGACAGTGTGCGGGGGCTTCCCGATCGATCGGGAGCGGGTCCTATAGTGTGCGGGGCGCGAAATTTTTTTTCCCACTTGAGTTCCGGACCCACCATAGATAGTGTTTTGTAATATATGGTTCGTATATATATGGTTGGATTATATTTAGTGTTAGGGTTCGTGTACGGGTTAGGGGTAGGGTTAGGGATAGGTGGTATTCATTTTACATTGTTGCTTCGAGGAAGTCGAGTGAATGAAGTGCGCTGATTGGCTGTGGTCCGGAACTCAAATGGGGAAAAAAATTTCGCGTGCGGGGCGGTAGTGCTGTGCACAGTCCAAAATCGCATAAGGCGCATAAGGCGCAAAGGAGCATAAGGCTCCTTATAACTGCCCAGCAGAATGCTGAGTAAACAAATTTATAGCCGCGTTCACACGTAGCAAGAAATTCGGTATTTAGCGTTCACACGAGGCAAAATGCGCGGTCCAAGAAATACGGAATCTAAATAGATTCGGTATTTGTTGAAATACGCGGCTTCCCAGATGCCGAATTATTTGCCGTGCTTGAGAAATTCCGAATCTCTTGGACCGCGTATTTCTCTCGTGTGAACGTAAAATACCGAATCTCTGAAGCCGCGTATTTTATAGACTGGTCCGCGCTCAACAGTTAACCAGTGTAACGCGAGTGGAACTGTCGAGCGCGGACCAGTCTACGTATTTAATCGGCAGTTGGTGCGCATTGCATTGTTTAATTCGCATTGTTTACTTGATTGTTCGCTTGGACGCATTGTTTTTTTTTCAGTGTAAAAGGCAGCTCGCAGCTCGCAAATACGGCATTTTTGGAGCCGCGAAACAGCGTGTGAACGCTCGGTCGCGTATATGTCTCAAATTCGGTATCTCACAATCGGTATAAAATTAGTCATAGTACAATTGGCCATAGAAAAAATTATTACAAAATTACTATTGCTTCCGCCTTCCTCCTCTTCCACCCACCCCGCCCGCCTCATCATGTGCCTTCCTCCGTCTCCTGCACCTTCAACCACTCCGTCACCTCTTCTCTCTTTTCCCATACCACTTCCATTTTCCTCCAGTCTTTTCTTACTACCGTCTTTTTGCAGCTTTCTCCTCGTCAGCTTTCCCATGTATTCTCCTCCTCTTCTTCTTCTACTTTCTTCCTCTTTCTCTCCTCTACGTCTTCTTATAATTATCACCTCTGCTGCATCCTTCCTTTTCCTTCCATACCGGCTTCTTCCTTCTACGACTGCGCCCCTCCTTCCCTTCCTCCGTCCTTCTCTCGTGCTCTTCTCCCCTCAATTTACCACATTCCTCTCTCTCTTTCTCTCTCTTTCTCTCTCTCTCTCTCTCTCTCTCTCTCTCTCTCTCTCTCTCTCTCTCTCTCTCTCTCTCTCTCTCTCTCTCTCTCTCTCTCTCTCTCTCTCTCTCTCTCTCTCTCTCTCTCTCTCTCTCTCTCTCTCTCTGCTCATACACATTCTTCTTTCGCCTCCTGCTATTTAGCGGACAACTCGGGAGATAGCAGAGAAAATAGCGAACGGACGTTCGTGAAACGCGCCCCTGTTCTCATCCTTCCCAGCGCTCTCCTCTTTTTTTTCTGTGATATCAAACGGAGGTTTACGTTTTGCTCCGAATTTCCTGTAATCAATCTTATTGTGACCGATTCTCCGGATACCCATTATTTTCCACCGTTCTCTCAGCAAGATGGCGCTCGCGGTCGCGCTCACCGTTCTACGCAGGTTTCTCAGGTATTTGAGAAGGTCTCCGTACGGGACGTACTCCATCACCATGCAATACGGCTCCTGTATCGTAACGCAGCCGAGCATCGTGACGATGTTCTTGTGTGCTCCCACGTGCTTCATCATGGCGATCTCACTGAGGAAATCATGCTTCTCGGCCTCTGTAGCCCGACCTGCAACACGATGCAGCGAAATGAATGACGATATCTTATTAATACGGCG